AAAAAAACTATTGAAATACTATATGCATATCATAACTTGCTTTTTTCCCTTTCTTCAACGTTTGTATAATTCGAAATTATCTTTGACGCTGTATCTTTCCGAAATACATTTCATGAATTATGTTATCTATTTATTGGTTACCCAAAAATTGTGATTAAAAAACTTTAAAGCATTATTTGAATTAAAGATACATTGAAACTGATACACAAGATAATAAGATGTTTCCGAAGCGTATCTATGAATTTGGCCTTAACAACTATTACAAACGCCGATATACAAACTTACTGTCCAATGCGTCTGGAAAGCTGGTTTCTACTTACGAGATATTTCAAAGATAATCGATAGGCGCCGTTCCTGAAAATCGCGCCAGCCCTTTTTTCATCACATCTCATCTCTTTTCTTTTCTTTTCTTTTCTATCTACAGCGTACGAGAGTTTGTTAGAATTGTAGGATCGCATCCTGGCTCGCGGTAGTGCGATCAAGAAATCTAGTTCGCATTCCTTAGGAACGTTTCTTCATCCCAGGCCTCCGCGCCACTCCCGGTTGAGTGATGTACGTAATAAGGAGCGCTTGAAACACAAAGGATTTATGAGAGACATACAGGCCAATCTCGCAGTTAACGCCATGGATCAAGAGAGTCTATGAACAGGGACATCCCTAGAAGAGCAGTCGACATGTTCAAGGTACGATCAGTCGAGACCCGGATTTTGTTGGCACCGAAGAAAATAGAAGCTGCTGATGTATAACGCGCCAGCGACAAGAACGAGGTGTGACTACTCGCTAACAAAAGTGGTCAAAGACTTACTCTTGCACGACTTGACCGCTGGCCCGGGACTGTCTCTCTAGGGTTGCCCGCATTCATGGACAAAGATGGTACGCAGCCTGAGGTGCACTGAAATTTAGAATGTACAGAAACGTCCAAGCGTCATGATACATATTAGCATTTTATTACACAGACTCTGCACTCATGTGGGCATCGGGTCGACACTCTACATGGATTGGATTATCGATTTATGTTTCAACTGTGCAATGCAACACACAAAAATTATATGTGTAATATACACAATATGATTATGTATTACAATATGTACAATATGTATGCTTATATGCGCGGGCATATATATGAGTCGCATACGTGCATACAAATGTACGATTGTATACACATTGTATTATATACTTGAAACAATGGAAAGAAACTGAAAAGAACGTAATAATGTAAAATTAAGGGCTAACGATTAAATACGGAAACAGAAATTTTAGCCTTTTATGAAAATTTTTACTTCGAATAATGGAATAATAACCCGAAGTTACGATGTAATCTAGAGAAAATTTTATATATATATATAAATATATGTATATATATATATGTATATATATGTATATGTATATATACATATATATACACATTCAAGAGAGATAAATTTTTAAGACATGTGAGATTGAGAATATACGTATAAAAGAAAAGAAAAAACACGATAAAACAAATATTATTAAATGTCGACGGATAGCCGAACCCCAATTCGCATGAGCTGTTAATCCAGCCTGGAACGTTCACAATGTTAAGTCGGACGAATGGGCAGTCAATGCATTGGCTCTACTCACCTGAACCGGCCATTGTTGCCACTTGGAGGGGGCGATCGGCGGCTGAACATGCCATACTCGTTACCACGGGAGAAGCCAGTGTCGCGCATGGATCCCATACCTAGAGGAGGCATAGGAGGCATTGGGTCTCGTCTTGGGGGTAGAGGTGGCATTGTCATTGGTGGAAAGTCAAGCCCGCACATGGAACTTCCCATGTCACAGGGCCCTGTCATACCCGTAAACCGCCTCTCGTAGAGATCCCTGGTGTCCTCGAAGCCTCTCCTGTCATAGTAGCTTTCGTAATCCTGTAATAAATATAAAAAAAACATATTGGCATGAATGATTGTATAAATTTATTTTGTTATTCGTTTTGTCTCCTTTCCCTTTTTTATTAAAATTGCTTTTGATTTCAAAAATTATTAAGAAAATTAAATTAACTTACTCCAAAGCGGCCACCACCCATTAACCGATCCCGAAGGAACGGTGGTGGCGGCGGTGGAGGATACGGATCGCGTCCAAACATTCGGTCTCTGTATCCGTTTCTATCTGGTCCTCCTCCCATTCCTCCTTTCGGGCACTCCTTGGACCAATGGCCGCCGCGACCGCATCGATAGCACTGTTCAGGATCTCCCATTCCTGGCCTTTGTCGTACTCTGCTTGTAGAAATTTGAACCTTCATCGCTTGACCATCCACCATTCTTCCATTGAGTTCCTTGATGGCATCGTTGACATCACCTGTTGCTTCTAGATGGACGAATCCATAATTTCTCACGATATCGCATTCTACAACAGTACCGTACTTGGCAAATAGTTCGCGCACTTGAGGCGCTTTTGTATTATCTGTGAGATTGCCAACAAATATTTTTGTTGTAGGTGTGTTAGGTCCTTTACGACTCTTTGCAGCTTCACATTTAATCTCCTGACCATGAACTATATGTCCATTTAAATTTTGTATTGCATTTCTCCCTGCTTCTTCGTTTTCCATATGCTGTTGAAAATTATATCATAAAATATTTTTTTCGTTAATCGAATTAAAGAATTGTAAATTTTTCGGGCCAAGATACAATTATCCGACAGATTTATAAGAAAAGAAAAGAAGGAAGAGAAGGAAAAAGATAAAAGAAAAAAACCGTAATTAAAAAATGATTATATCAAAAACACAAGATATATGAGGAAACTTACCACAAATCCATAATTTTTCACCACATCGCATTCTACAACCTTTCCATATTTTTCGAATAACGGTTTAATATCAGCATTTGTTGTTTTATCGGCTAAATTACCGATAAAAATTTTGAATGTGCCAACACTACTAAAACCCGGCATTTTCGGCTCGTCTTAGAACCTAATTTCAAAAACAAAATATTTAAAATATTATAATTTTTCGATAAAATATATACTGAAATAAAAAAAATATATAAAGAAATATTATATCCACCTTATTTACAATATTAACTTAATTTTATTTTGTAAGAATTTATAATGCAACTAATCTTATTTCTTAACATTATATTGTACAATATTATTCATTTCCAACGAATAATTAATTTATTGTCATCAATATGATTTTTATATAAATGAAAATATATTATATTATATTAGTAATATAATATAATATAATATTATATTATATTATATTAGTAATATAATATAATATAATATTATATTAGGTTAATTATATTAGTTATATTAATATTAATATATAATGATATATATTAAAATATTTATATTTTATATCAAATTGATATATATTAAAATATAGTATTTATATATTTTGAATTGAACAAAAATATTTTTATTTAAAATTAAATAAAAATCATAAAAACTTATCTACTTAATAATGACGATTGTTTTAGATACTCTTCACAGCGCACATTTTTCCACCATTTTGCTAACGATCTAGCATTTCGAATTTCGAAGGTCATAAATTCTGACGAATTCTAAACTTTTACAACTAAATTTTAATGAACAGAATCAATTTCGAAATTTTTGAATAATATAAGAAAGCACAAATTTTCTAATTTCTATTTTAATAGAATAATGGAATATCTAAGCAGAGAATAAGTACTTATTAAATACGTTATAAAATACGTAATACAGAAAGCGTACCGACCTTGTTGAAATGGCGCACCAAATCTAGGAAATGTGAATAATATAATAATGATCACCAACTCAAATATGGTGCATAAATTTATATTCAAAGACTATATATTTTTTTCACACTCACCGAAGATTATTGCGTGCTACTTTCAACGAATAATTTAACCAACGTTGATATTAGACACACGACTTTACACAAGAGAACGCAATCTAACAATGGCGTCTCACTTGCTGCGTCCGCTGATGCGCGAGAATCGAAGTATGTAGTGACCCCTATCGGACAATTGCAATACACAGCGAACAGTAAGAATAATGTATCCAAAAACTTACCATGAACATACTTCCAAATATTTCATGTACTATAAATGAATTATACGCGGGAATTTCTATTCTCTTCTAATGATTTATTATAATGAACGTTATTATATTTTATCGTTCATAAAACAGAAACGATTAAATTTTTTATTTTTTAAGTATTTTATTCACAATATTGAAAAATTACGATATTTATTGGAAAATTGAACGGAACGAGATATATAATATATATTATAACTTTTTTTTTTTTAATACTTCAACAATATTAAAACGTAATTATCACGATTTACATTCTCTCGTTGAATTGAAAGTAGTCGACAATTTCAATCATTATGTAAACTATTATATCGTTATGGTTATGTTATGTGTCTATCACAGCGTTAATATTTTCGGAATATTAAATGTTATACAAACATTTAGAAAACTATTATAAAAAAATATATAAAATAATGCAATAATAAAATATTATGCCATTATGCCATAAAACATATAATTGATTTACGAAATAAATCTATATTAAATATATATGTTTATTGTATATTTTTATACACTGATATAAAATAATAAATGAATAGAAAATTATTGTGATAAAAATTAAATTCTACTGAATTAATAACGTGATCACATGTACAATATCAACGTATGTATATAACACAACAAAGTATTATAATATTTGTCAAAGTTATATAAAAATAATTTAATAGTAAATGCATAACAATGCTATTAACTAATAATTATTTTTTATTCTTAATTGAAAAAAGACTAAATATTTTTGTAAAATGACTTTATTATTGGAAATCTAGAAACGCGAAATGGCGTGTTTCGGATATCTGCGTATCGACGCTATGAAATATAACTACATAATCTCATTGATGCAACTGATACTTTTACATTTATATGATGCTTTTCATTTAAGAAATTAAAATGTGTAAAATATTTAGAAAGTATTAAAATACTTACCAAGTCAGTATTTCCGTAAAGCAATTCGACAAAACACAATGCCAAACCACACGCTTTCCTACGTAAAAAAATGGCGGATCGAAACAGATCGGGAAGTGGAATATAGAATATAGCGTCTCTTTCGATGCAAAATTCAAAAGTACCAACTGATGAAAATAAAATTATTTATTATAAAATATTACTAAATACTAGTATTATTACTAATATATACACCTACATACAGATTATAATTTTTTTAAATTTTATATATATTAAATAAAACAAAACCATTATATTATATGAAATAATAATTTTCATATAATTAAAATAGAAATAATTCTAAATTCTTTCTTACTTTATTTATGTTAATTTAAAAACAGAAAAATTCTGAATTGTATATTTGTAAAATACGAGAAATATTTTCAATACAATACAAGTAATAATTATCATCAATAATTTGATAATTAAATTTTCTTATATTTCAATTTCTTGTAATATTATTATTTAATTTTTTAGCATTATAATCATTGGATCATGCGTCAACTGGATATTGATTTTGCACTCGAGAAATTTAATATATTTTCAATGAATATTTTTTGTTTTATTTTATTTTATTCTATGAACTATTCTAATTGATCTATTCTATTTATAAAAAAATTTTATATTTCTACTTATAAGAAAAATAATAAAAGATAAATTTCTTTATTGTATAATTATTTTCAAATAATATTTAATAGGGGATTATCATATATAATTATATATAATAAATTAGAAAAACAGAAATATTGTATAAGAATAATAATATGAAAAAGTCATATTTAAATAAGAATATAAGAATATATATATATATAAATTTAATTATTTGTTATCTCAAAAAATTAACTATAATTTTAATTTAATTAATTTTTTTTATTTAATTTAATTTAATTTAACTATAATTTCTTTTCCTAAAAAATCACTAAAAAGTAATTTCTATTATATAACATGTTATAATATATATATATATATATATATATATATAGAAAGAGAGAGAAAGAGAGAGAGAGAGAGATCATATTCAAAGCTTATCCACAATTATTTTTGATTCTTATTGAAAATTTTTTTAAAATATATTTTTATTATTTCATTATTTTTATGAAATCTAAAACATTATTACACTTATTTATCAAACTCTATTATCGATTACATTTTTTATATAAAATATTTAAATATTTTTATTTATATAATATTAAATTATACAAAGTTTTCTCAGATATAAAATTGTATTGTATTAATAAAACATGGATTTAAAAATTAACATAAATTCTTAAACAAAATTATATATTTAATTTATTAATTATATATATTTATTATGATAAATATAGATAACACGAAATTGTATAAAGGAAAATTATAAAAGAGGATTCAACATAATAAAAAAGTATTAAAAGAGAAAAATTAAAAAAATTTTTCTATTTTCAAAACTATAGAATTTAATAATAAGCATACTGAAGAGATTTATGAACATTGAATATTAATAAAATTTATCTCGTAATACGAAACATTCTGACATACAAGAATATTTCACATATTTATATTTTACAATCGATATATATTTAATACATCATTATGGTAAGAATTAAATTTATAGAGCTATATTTATAAACAACATAAAATTCCATACATCCTGCAAGACATCTCATTTTGCAATTAAAATTATTTTATACATTCAATTTAATATTGTATTTTTCATTTCAAAGATATATTAAGTAAATATATTTATAAAGATTAACATAATTCTGTTAATGGTGGAACTTTAATATATATAAATTTATAACATTGAATGGATATATGATAAATTTAAATGCTATCATTAAAATGATTTTTGCGTTTTTTTAAAAATAAATTCTTACAATTAATTTCATTTTAAATATCTTCATTTTATGTTTATATGTATTTAGAGATTAGAACATTTGCATTTTTTTTTAGGCTGAAAGAAAATAAAAGTTATTCTTTCTAAGTAGTGGCCATCATTGATTACATACTCAAATTTTAACATAACATAATGAAACACATTAAAACATTATCATGTGTCATCGCATTTACTTATAACAATAAAGATATACACATTCATTCATAATTTCTTTCTTCTCCAGTCATGATTGATTTGATCACAGTACATTCGCACATACATACGTATTTACGTATTTTTAAATCTTATTATTCAGTCTTCAGGCTTGCAGTCTGTCAATAAATCTATATACACCGGGTTATTTACAAGGGAAGAAATTATTTTTTAGCTATTAGCGATAAGATAGAATACATCCAACGAATATCGTCAAATGTTATACGATTTTAATAGCATTGTCAATATGTAATTTTGATATTGTCTTTTTCACGCGTAGCGCTGTTAAACGAACGGCTGGATTTCCATGCCAACATTCGGCTATAAGCTTACTCAGCGCAAATAGAATCTATAACAAAAAAACAAATATCTAATTTTAATATAATTATTTTATTAAAATATTTCTATCTATAAATATGATTAATTTCATACTTACTGGATCATTTTCCCATCGTGCTGGTATTATTGGACGTAATCGTTTTACACAAACTGCTAATCGCATATCTTCAAAGTCTGGATCACTTGGAACAACATCTTGGTATGGTAAAGCATATGGTTCCACCATAGAATTTTTGCCACCTGTAATGCATCTTCTACAAGTTTCCCAAAGTACAAGACCAACAGAATACATATCTGCCATCTTGAAAGCGTCAAAAGAAGATGTGTTTAAAGTTTCATCTAAAACTTCTGGAGCCATGTATCGGCGTGTACCGACTCGTGTATTGGGTGCAATATCAATTTCTCCACTTTCACTAAAAATAAAAAATGTTACAATCAATATAATTTCTATGTAACGCAAGTGCAATTATTTTATTTTTTTGTATATGAAATATTTACACATCTTTTTACAATTATAATTATTTCATTAAGTTTGAAATACCTATATATTTACCTAATATATCTAACTGCTAAACCAAAGTCTGCAATTGCGCATTCACCATTTTTTTTACTAAAATATTTCTACTTTTAATATCTCTATGAGCTATAGCAGGCTTCCCTCGTGTACCAAAAATCTCTGTATGAAGATGAGCAATGCCAGAAGCAATTGAAAGACATATTGCTAAAAGGCTAGGGTAATCTAGAACAGTAGTTTGTAGATAATCATATAACGAGCCTCTTTCATGATAATCTGTAATTAGTAACATTTGTGTCCAAGATCCTGTGCCTTTGATATCAGCCGCGATGAAACCCAAGATATTATCGTGTCTCATTAGAACTGTCTGATAAATTTCAGTTTCTCTAAACCAAGATGCTTCTTCTAATGTAAAAAATACTTTCACTGCCACTTTTTCCCCTCTCCATCTTGCAAGCCATACTTCACCATATCGTCCTTTTCCAACACATTGAGATAAGGCTAATTGTTTAGCTATAGTTCGCTGTACTAAGAGAGGTAATCCTGATCCAGAGCCACTACTCTGATCAATAAAATCTTTAAGTGTTCCTTGAGAAGGCACTAAGCAAGGTCCTCTTTCTTTTCTTCTATATCTATGATATATGATCACCATAGCTATTGAAATTACCATTAAGCATATAGACAAAATGGTAGTCAATATTATAAGTGGCGCACCCGATGCTATAGCCATAGGATTAGGTACTGTTGTAGTTCTAGGTTTATAATCGGGATATAAATCTTTGTTACATAATGCACTCTTGTTACAACATATTATATTTTTTCCTTGTAAATGTGGTACAAGGTATCCTTTGCATTGCATAAAACCTTGCTCATCTGGTGGTAAACAGCCAAATGACCATTCTGGTACAAATTCTCCTGATTCTGCATCCCAAACTTCTTCTACTGCACTGAAACAGTGACCACCAGGTCTTCCTTCGCAAGTTCCATTTTGTCGATCATCTGGACAATGTCCTTCACAGTAGCAAGTAATTCCTAATGCTGAAAAGTAAAAAAATGAACTTGATTCACTATCATGCATAAAGTAATAAGTAAGCAAAACTATTTAATATTATAATAATTATTATTATATCTTTTATATTCATACACATGAAACTTAATAAAGACAAGATAATATAATTCAATTATTCAACACATACACATTAGAATATATTAAAATATATATAAATGTGAATATATATAATGGCTAAAATGCATATATAATCATAATGATTATTATTATTATATCTTTTACATTCATATTATAAAATTTGATAAAGATAAAATATAATATAATTCAATTAATTTAAACACACATACATTAAAATATATTTTCATAAGGATAAAAAAAAAAAAAAAAAAAAAGAAAGAAAGGACGATTTCTAATTTATAAATAACAATGTATCATATAAAAGAATAATTATTATCAATTTTTATAAATAAAATCAACATATCTTTTGCAATTTTACCTTTTACAACAATCTGATTAAATATTATGCAAACCTATATATATGTATAACATCTATACATTATATATATATGTAAATAATGTTTATTCTTTCCTTCTATTTATCATATTAAAATAAGAAAAAATATGAAATTTTAAAAAAAGAAGAAATAATATTTTTAAAAGCATATGTTTATTATGTTTAATATTTTAAACACAAATGATTGAATTTATTGGAAAAATGATACTCATAAAGAAAAAAATATTGCCAATACAATATAAAATTAAAAATAATTTGAATCGATAATATACAGGTAAATTTAAAAATATTTCATATATTCTTCATAAAAATGCATAATATTACTTATAGGTAAAAATAGATATGTAATGCATCTTATAAAAAGTTTTGTTGCTACAAAACAATGCTTTTTATGTAATAATGATTGAGTGCTTTTCATTTTTTATATTGAATTGAATATGTATAAGTGCATAAATTTGAAAAAATCAATTAGAGATGTAATCTTAATATAATGTGAACATATATGTGGCAATTTTTTAATTTCTAAGATTAATCATATGTTTTTTTCTACTTTTTAATCTATGACAAATGCCATATAGATTTCATTCTATAAAGAAATCAGTGATGTCTGTTTATCCGATAACATCCAAAAGTGATAATACATACTTTACAATAGTTTCCAAGTGCGATCACGTTTTTCTTCTATCC